CCAAAGTAGGTTGCATGTGAACTTAGGAATTGTTTTCTGGTTTATTTGTTTTACCTAAAACCCATCAATTTACATGAGACTAGAATTTCCTGGCCAAAATGCTAGTTGTGACAATATTCTTATAAATGAATAATTACATTCTAAAATACTTGCTTCAGCTAAAGACCTTACATCTTATTAGGATGTCTAAAAATTTCAAAGCTATTTTGACACAATAGTAAATTTGTCTTTGCTTAAGGTGAGCTTTCAAATGTTGTGATAAAATTTTGTTATATATAATAATCTGTATTATGCAGATATGAAGATCAACTTCTTAAATATTACTTTTCTTACTACTTTAGAGGAAAAACTTCCTCAAAGTCTATACGTTAGGTAAAAGGGATCGATATTGAATATAACGCAATAAGTAGTGTACTTTGTCGTCCATCCATTTCTTTTATATCAAAAGAGTTTAGTATCTTAAAATAGACTTGCAGCAAAGATAAGATCAACTAGGGTACTATATTTGGTTGTTCTTCATGGATTGCATCTATGCATTCGTGGTTATCATACTCTAATTTTGGTATATATGTATATAAAACAAATTACTATAAACATTTTAATTCAAATTCTATGAATAGAAACAATAAATTTGTATTTCTTGTTTTGATTTGGGAATTATGCTAGAATAATTAAATGCTTTGTGGTTTTACGTTGCGCTTCTACAAACCAGTGCATAAGCCGAACATGTTGTCTGCTAGTAACTATTAAAGGTGTAATATAGTTTAGTTCTTGGATTACTACATGGTCTATTAAGCTCCCACTAGCTTATTGTAAAAGAGATCTTTCTCGAGCTACTCATCGTTTCAAACGTCAAAATAGTTTTTTCATTGGTGGAGTTGCATGAGAGAGTTTCTGGTATATACTAGATAATGTAGGAATTGAAATAGCTATATGTCTAACATGGGTTTCGTAGTTCTAAATTCTCAACTAAGATAGTTTTGGGTAATCTTCCCGAACTCAATAATTTTATGGTGTCTTAATTACCTTAATTAGTTTCAAACATATAAAATATACCTCACCCTATAAGGAAAATATCTAATATTTAAGATAGACAAACTGTAATATTTAGATACATTGAACATGTACATAATATCAAGCTCTAACTTCAATGGAATCCGAGACATTATTTTGTACTATAAAGGGAACGTTTGGATCATCGTTATGTGGACATGTAGCAAGACAAATATGAGTTACATATTATATGTAACAACCCAAAAACAATACTAAATTTTTTCGTTTAAAAACCATTAGTTTTCATTCATTGATTGTATCAAAGCCATCATTCATTACAATATTCCAAAACATCAGAGTACAATACATCAAGTGCGAAAATCATGTGGGGAGGATGTTATGCCATCACACCCGACTCTTCCCTTTTGAACTGGAAGTACCTGAAACCATAAGCATAAACTGTAAGTATAAATCTTAGCGAGCTTCCCAAATTACCACATACAACATACATATCATATAATAGCACATGGCTGTGTCAGGTCCGTATTAACCCCCGGGTCCGTATCAACCCAAAATAACAACATATAGTTGTGTCGGGTCCGAATCAACCCTCGGGTCCGTATCAACCCAAAATAACAACATATAGTTGTGTCGGGTCCGAATCAACCCCCGGGTCCGTATCAACCCCGATTCTGTAATGACTCCGAGCTCATATAGCTCAATACATAAATCATGCAAGCACACAAACAAAATCATACGATAACATACAATTCTACTCATACGATACAGTGGGTCAGCCTTGGTGCCTTCGACCCACTTAAGGTGGTAGGAAGACTCACCTCACAGACAGACGAAGAGCTGAACTGACACATTGCTCTGAAATCCTCACTACCGGTCACCTTTACGAACAACAGTAACCAAAACTCTGAAAGGACAACTCAAATGCCTTGGAGTACCTTCTAATCACAAAGACTAAGTTTGGTACCAAAAGGAAACAACTTGATCAAAAACTAGATCCAAGAGATTTCTTCATCAAGTTTGAAACTTTTTACCTCCACAAGGTGCACAATGGGGACAAAATGTTGGATCCAAAGCCTTGAGTGAAGCACCACCACTTCAGTGCTCTTCCTTCTACTCCAAAAGCTCAAAATGGCACCAAAAATGGCTCAACAAGCTTCACAATGCACAAACACTCTTTAGGGTTTGGAAATGAGGAGGGAGGCTGAAGGTAAGAAGGTACATGAGGCCATAAAATGTGTTTAAATAGGGTCCAAACCCTAAAATTTAGGGTTTGCACCCTGGGTGCGTATGCCCTGCGTACATGCGTACGCACAACGTTTTAAGGTGCTCCGGAGTACACCCTGCGTAGGAGGGTGTACGCCCCGCGTACTCTAGAGGACTTTGAATTTACGAATTTGCCACCGGGAACTAAACTTGCAAGTTAAACATAACTCAAGGGTTAAAACAAATACCTAAATTCTAGGTGTTACAATTCTAGGGCCATGATGATATTTTGTGAACAATACAAGAAAAGTTCAATGATCACATGTGTACAAAAAAATATAAGTGACTAAATGTGTGTACATAAGCAAACAAATGTTGGACTTATAAGGTCGAACAATATAGGTGTGGTGGCTGCCATCAACGTCTGATGTGGCTGCAACTGTTGGCAGAAAACATCTCCCCCCACTAGCCACAAAGTTCATAGGCATGCAAAACTGATAAATTTGTGCAGTTGAATTTGTGGTTGCATCTCATCCTGATCCTTATATTTCCTCTCTTTTCCTTACCATCAACACCACACAATGATGGAGACATCAACACCACAGAGTACAACCTAAGTCATTATCCCCAAAAACTATCTAAAATAACTTTTAAATAAAAAAATTAAAAGTTTATATTTTGTTAAAAAACTATATATTTTACAAAAAGGAAGTATCTAACCACAATTTAATGTGTATTTGAATATAGTAACCAAAAAATTTTGTTCCTTTTTTTTTAAACAAAAATAACCACTTAGTCCGGAATGAGCATTCTAGATTGAAAAAATAATTTTATAGACAAAAAATTCATTTCGGACTAACGTTTCGGAATTCCGGACCAACATTCTGGATTCCGGACTGAAATTTCGGATTTTGAAAAATAAACACCAAAATTTCAATAACAGGTCTGAAATCCGATGAACAATTCCGGAATTTCGAGAAAAAATTTGTTTTTTACTTAAATCTCACAAAAAGTTAAACAAACATAATAATTATGAAATATATAAGATAGTATGACATAAAATCATGTATTTTATTGAAAAATGGTGGCATAAAATGATTAAACAATTTGAAATAGACATTTCAAACATAAATAAAGAGATTTCTTTGGAAAAAACCAAAACTGAAGTCCGAAATTTAAAGATCAAGTTCGGGATGGAACATTTGCGAGTAAATAATCATTTTTCTAAAAACTGAAAAAAAAATGTTATTTAAAATTAAATGTCATTTAAAATGGTTAATTTACTCAATTTTCTAAAAAATCAAAAAATAATCATTAAACCATTGAACATATTACATATGTTTATCGATTTATTTATGGAAAACTCTATTAAAGTCCTAATATTTTACCATAATTTACGAATAAGTTACAAACTAAAATTTATTTACAAAAAAACTTGAATTACAGGTAAAAATGACGATTTTACATTTTTTTGTCGGTTTACCGATTTCAAAGTTATCATTTTTTCATTAAAATCTCATTCTTTTACCAAAATTTACAAATAAGTCACAAACTAAAATTAAATGATGATTTGACCTTTTCCCTCCTGTAACATATATTTTACTGGTTTCATTGCTGACCTAAATGCCTAGTCATTAAATGAGCTGATGAGATGAATATGATGAGTTATATAATGTTACGTTTACCGTAAAACTTGATATCCATCTCATCAGCTCGTTTAATGACTAGGCGTCACAGTCAGCAATGAAACTGGTAAAATATGTGTCGTCGGAAAAAAAAAAGATGAGAAATGAGCTTATGAGATGAATACGTTGAATTACACAAGATTAGACAGACAATTTGATTTTTTATAAACTTCAAAAATAAGGAAGTTGTTACTAGTTTATGTAATTATTGCAGTCTTCGTTGGATCATATTCCAAAAAAATACAATGCAACATGATATCAAATTTTACGGTAAACGTAACATTATATAACCTAATATATCCATCTCATCAACCCATTTAATGACTAGACGTCCAAGTCAGCAATGAAACTAATAAAATGTATGTTACATGTAGAAAATGACCAAATCATCACTTAATTTTAGTTTGAGACTTGTTCGTAAATTAAGGTAAAATAATGAGACTTTATTGAAACCAAATTAACAGATAAACCATAAAAAAAAGAGATGAAATCGTCATTTTTTATCCATAATTCATGCAAAAACAAATTTTAGTTTAGGAGTTGTTCATAAATTTAGATAAGAGTAAATTACAGAAATGGTCCTTGTGGTTTGGTTAGATTCTCAGGTTTAGTCCAACCTTTGAAAAACTGATAGATTATGTCCTTGTGGTTTGGAAAAATAACATTGTTAGTCCTTTTAGTGGACACTGTTAAGAAGTGGATGTTAAGTCCAAGTAAAAGACCAATATACCCATGATTTTTTATTTTATGTTATTTGTTTTATTTTATAAACAACAATGACCAAATATGTAATAAACAAATAAAGGAATAAAAAACCTAAATTCTAATCCATCATCCATCGTCCCACTACAACTTAAGTATGACAAAATTCTTTCCCACCAAAAGCCTAATCATCGTCGACTCCATCCAAAAATCAACTTCAATATGGAGGAAATGGCATCACCATGCTCGCTTCCTACTTTTTCTGGCCGCCTCCCTCATCCCACCACCTCCCTCGTCTGATGGCCATCGTCCCTTCCGCCGATGGTGGTTTTCCTACAATTCTCCCCTCACCTCATTTTACTGCCATATCCATCAACGACATCATGTACCACCAATGCACACATCTTTCTGGCGCCTAACACCATCAACACTCATCTCTTCCGGTGACAACAATTCTCCCCCAACCTCTCTACTTTCGTTGTATCCTTATTCTCACGCCTCACTCTTTTGTGGTAATAATTTGATTGAACCTAAGTGAAATTTGGATGATATAGATTAATTCCTCGTTGAGAAATCCATATCAAACATAGCTTGCAAGTAATTGCACCATTAATGGAGATTACAGTTGATCAATTTTCTTTTTGGTTCTAAAAGGGTAAAACGTCCAAGATTTTTTAATTCTATGTTTCCGCATTTATTCAAGTGTTTTAGTTGGGATCAAAGTGTTACACACCTTATTTTCCACTTTTTCCCCTTTGTATGTTGATGCTTTAAGATAGATACAAGCATAATCAACTGAGAATTGTCTATTTTTCTTAAGTTTGATACATGTGACATGAAGCAATGAAGATGGTTGTGTAGCAAATCACATAAGAATATGGTTTCTTGTATCTACTTTTTAACTTTCTCCTTCTTCCCGGTCTAATTTTTGTCCTATGTTTGTACTTGAAATCACATAACATGTTTTGGCATCTAGTTCTTGGCTCGTCTTTGTGTAACAAATCTTTTAAGAATTCAGGTTTTTGGTTTGTATTTGGATTCATTGAAGTCCATAACATCCACTTCCAAAGTGTTGTGTGGATGTGGTGTTTTAATTCGATTTGATTGATTAGAGAAGCAGGTTGAAGGTTGAAGATTACCAAAGGAAGTTTTTAGATAAGTAAAACGGGGGTTAATCGGAAGAGCAACAATAAAGTAGAGGGTGATGAGAAGAAGAAATAGGGAGCAGAGTATGACCTTAAATAATAATAAAATTAAAAAGAAAATAATAAAAATAAAAAATTAGGGGTATATTAGTCATTTTACATGTTTTTAGTCTAACAGAGTTAGATTAGAGTTAGACAAAAGGACCAAAACTGTAATAATTGAAAACCACATGGATGCAACTTATCAACTTTTCAAAAGTTGGACCAAAACTGAGAAATTAAACAAACCATAGGAACCATTTCTATAATTTACTCTTTAGATTAAGTATTGAGAATTTAGAGGGTGTTTGGATAGAGAAAAAAAGGTGTTTATTGCTTATTGCTTATTCCCACCACAATAAGCTAAATTTAAATGTTTGGATAGAAATCCTTAAAAATCAGCTTATTGTGGTAGGAATAAGCTAAATAAGATGATTTTAATAAGCATTCCCCCCTTGCTTATTGTTTATTCCCACCACAAACACTTTTGCAAAAACTGTTTATTTCCAACGCAATAAGCTATAAGCTAATTTATCCAAACATTCCTTAAGGGGTGTTTAGATAGGAAAAAAATAGGATGCTTATTGCTTATTCCTAACACAATAAACTAAGTTTAAGTGTTTAGATAAAATTCTTAAAAATCAGCTTATTGTGTTAGGAATAAACTAATTTTAATAAGCATCTCCCCCCTTACTTATTGTTTATTCCCACCACAAATAAGCTAATAAACAATAAGCTAAACTAATTTATCCAAACACCCTCTCAATAACAATTATTTATTTAAGACGTAAAAGTAATTTGGATTTTATGGGGCCTCAAAGATTTTCATTTCACTAAAATCCCTTCTACATGACACGCTGACAGCACCATCCTTTCACCCTGGGAAGACAATGCAATGCATGGTCACGCAATTTTGTGAAAGAGTGTACGGCGGCGATTCTGTTCGATTCCATAGACTCGTAGCCTTTGGTTCTCATCCCTCCCTGGCGCATATTAGCAGTCATTTATCTTTTACTGTTTCCGCCATAGCCTCGTAGCCTTTGCTCCTTCCCCCCCTCAAAGTTATCCGATAACCATTTTACTTTTTGCTGTTTCCGCCATAGCAATATCACTGTGTCTGTGTTAATGATCAACATTTTCCGAGCGGCGAGTTCGGTATTTTTTTTTGACGCATTTGTGTATGATCAAGCATCTACCATCCGTTTTCTCTCACTAGATTTTAAATTTCCGAACGCCGAGTTCGAACTAGCAAGGTTATTGATCAGTCTATTTCTTATGCGTTTGTTTGTGATTACGCATCTCTAACTGTTTCCTCACACTAGATTTTAATTTTTTTAAACCGTCGATACAGATATCTAGGGTCTATAGCAGGGTCTTTCTTCTTGTTATGTTTCTTGTGTTTTCTCTCGCCAACCTGTTGTGAATGTGATTTAAGTTTTTCTCCCGATGCAGCATTTGTTTATGCTCATGCGTTTGTTATCTGTTTATTTTCTCACTGTAGATTTTGAATTTATTTCAGCGTCTAGGGTTTCTAGTAGTGGTTTTCATCGTTGTATCATATCAGTGCTGGTTTTTATCTTCTGTGTGATTTTTCTCCTGTTTTGCTTGAATAATCGTGATTTTTCATATCCAATTAACTACGCAGCGTTTTTTTGTAGATATTGAAAGCAGTTGATGATGCTAGTAAATAAGGTCGTTCGTGATTGAATTCTCATTTCAGGACTTTCTTCCATCCTAGCAGGTTGTTGATTTGTTGTTGATTCTCTTTTGGTGTTTCGCTTCTGGATATTACAGTTTCCAGATATGTAATATTCTTCCATTAATTTGTAATCTACAGATATGTCAGATCATATTAAAGGAAAGGCAAATGCATCTTCTGAGAATATCGAGTTCAAATGGGGGCGAAAGGAGCAAAATGATGGAAAGAAGCATGATAGGCAATATTATAGATCATTTACCTACGATGGTGTAGACTACTTCCTTTATGATTCTGTATACATATGGTGTGAAGGTCAACCAGAGCCCTATATTGGTAAACTTACTGAGATATATGAGACAAAACATCTTGAGAAGAAAGTGAAAGTTGTCTGGTATTTTCATCCCACACACGTTCAAAGGTATTTAAGAGGCACTCATACACTCAACAATGAATTATTCTTGGCTTCAGGTGTAGGTGAAGGTCTCTTAAATGTCAACCCCCTGGTAATCAAACATCATTTTTAAACTCTTCCAAATATGCCCTTTTGGCCTTTTTTCATCTTTACTAATTTGCAACTATCTCTTTCTAGGAAACAATAGCAGGGAAATGCGATGTTGTATGCACATCAAAGGACAAGAGGAACCCTCAAGCATCTATTGAAGAAGTGGAGATGTCTGATTATGTATTTTACAAGACATTTGATGTTGAAAGATTAATATTATCAGAAAGATTTCCCGATAAGATAGCTGGAGTTGAAGGTTTGTGTGAATTGTGATAACTTTATACTTTCTAAATTTGTTCATGTGATAACTTAATACTTTCTAAATGTCCTGAATCTTTTTGTTCCAATATGGATTCAGTTGGATTCTTCTTTAATCAGAGAAAACATTTGGAAATTGGCACTCCTCCAAAATCCAATTGGAACTCCAAAGTTGCAGGGAAATCAATTTCATCTTCCAAGTTTGAAACAGGTCACTGTTCTACTGCAGTAAAAGATGAAGAATCTGGTAATTTTAATAAATTTTGTTTTTTAGTCCAATAATTTTTTTTAATCACTTTTACTTGACCTATGTTTACAGATTTTAGGTTTCCTCGTGCAAATGCAACTGATTCTTGTCACTTGAACAAAAGGAAGCTGCAAGACTCTAAAGTTGAACCTGATAAGCCCACAAAAAGACCAAAATTGGTAAATCATTTAATATATATAAATGGTCTTATTTTCTTACTTTGGCATATGAATCATTCTTATTTTGAATTCATTAACTTTGAAGACTTAGATACTACGTATCCATGTGCATGCAGGATTCAAGCAATTGGTTCAAGGAACAAGTGAGTTATCTACTTATCTACAGTTTTTTTTATAGATTTATCATACACCATGGATTTTTTCTGCAATATGAAGTAATATAAACTGAAAAATGTTACAAAAAGACGCATAAATCTGAATTGAATAAGTTAATATTTTCATTCTTTTGAGCAGCCATGGGAGGAAAGGATGCAGATAGCCAATGAAACAGGCTCCCTTGTATTACTAGAGAATCTGGATCCATCCCTTACATCATTAGAAGTAGAGGCATGTTAATATTTTAAAACTATACTCTGTTCATACTTCATATGGTAATTTAATAATTTATCATTCCCAAATTTTCCACTTTTTTATTTTTTATTTTTTATCAGGATATAGTTTTGGATGCTTTTCATAAAAAGGCTAGTGCAAAGATGATACAACGTAACGCATATTCGAGTCCATACAATGGTATATAACCATTTGATACATGCAAGACAATATTTGTGCTTTGTTAATTGTTTTATTTATCTTTTTGTATTAGGACAAGCTCTTGTGATATTTAACTCAAAAGATGAAGCAGACTTTGCTATTTCCGAGTTAAAAACCAGATGTCTAATGCTTGGAGATCTAAGGTAGACTTTGCTCATTGTATTTTTTTTGCATCATGTTGATTTAATTATATTACATTTTCAATTTTGGTAACAAGTTTTGGGTTCACAATTTCAGACCCATTGTTGGTAGTAGACCTTAATTGAAGGAGACCGGTAAAAAATCAAGGTACTTTGGTCATTTAACAATAAAAACCATGAAACAAATGCGGTCTATGGATATGGTAATTTTAACCTTCTTTTACTTTACCCTATTATCTGAGAGCTTTTAGCTTTTTTGCTAAAGATTTCTAGTACTATCTTTCTAGATAAATCTAGAATCAACAGCCTTCCTTTTTTTGTGTGTAGAGAAATGCAGTTTCCACATCCCACTTTTCACAGCCAAATACCATTGAATTTGAGATGGCACTCGAGTGGTGCACACTGCAAATGAGGTGGAATTTCTGTTGGGATGCATTATACAAGGTAACCATCACATTTCATTCTCTATTCTCTATACATTCAAACACTAATAAATAGTAAATTTTCTTATATATATATATATATATATATATATATATATATATATATACCCTTCTATCCTTCCAGCATCAAGGTAAAGAAATTGCCGACCTTAAAAAACAACTTTCCAACCACAAGGACTAAACATGTAAAAATTCCAAATCACCACAAACACAAGAGATAGATAGAATTTCCAAGTTTTCAAGCTATTAACTATATGATATATTGTTTTAGTTTTTTACTCTTTGGAAGATTTGTTGATGAGTGACTTGTGAATGTGAGGAATAACTCCACCACCAGCAATCGTTCCTTTTATAAGTGTGTCAAGTTCTTCATCTCCTCTTATCGCAAGCTGTAAATGTCTTGGTGTTATACGTTTCACTTTCAAATCCTTGCTTGCGTTACCGGCTAACTCAAGCACCTCCGCCGTCAGATACTCTAGTATAGCCGCCGTGTAAACAGCTGCCGTTGCTCCAACTCTTCCGTTAGCAGCAACTCTCGTCTTCAGAAGCCGGTGAACTCGACCCACCGGAAACTGCACAGATCGCATAACAATCTAATTAAACAAACTCCATTCGTTTTTATCAGATCTGACTAAAGTCAACACAGTCTTCTCTCCGATTCTCCGTTTCCGTTCGCCGGTGAATCGGAGATTGAGGAAAGGAGAAGAAACCTGGAGACCGGCGCGTGAAGAGCGAGTGGTTGGCTTCTTCTTGTCTTTGTCCTTGTTGGATAATACGTTTGTTTTCCCCGTTAGCAAACCTTTTGCTCCTTTCCCAGACATTTTCCCGCCAAAATTTCAGAGAATATTTTCGGCCAATTACTGTTCCCGTTCGCCGGAGTTGATCTGAGAATTTAATCAGCGGATATGGAGAGTTGTCTTATTCAATAGGCATCGAAAAGAGGAGCCAGATCCTTTTGTCAGCCAATAGTCTTTCTTTTTTCTTTATCCTGTTGATGTTACTTGTTCATTTTAGCCCCTGAACTTTCATCAGCTTTTCATTATGGATCAGCTTCTTCTTAGATTTGTATAGTTTATCTTTTACTAGTTTGGTATGTTAATGCTTTTAGTTTGGTCATTTTTAGGAACCGATTTCATCTGATGCGAATCAAGTAAATCTATTCTGATTTTGATTTTCATATTTATTCGAATAGTTTGAAATAAGTTAAAATTCACGGTTCAATTTTTACTTAATATATAGCATTTCAAAAGTCCAGACATTTGAAGAAGATATATAGCTTTAGTAGTAACAAGTCGTATTGTCGAATGAGATATCACCAAAGTACTTTGATGTTCGTACATTTGGATATTCCAAACTCAAAAGTATAGTAACGGAGCATGTTCGGCTTGAGTAAATACAAGGGATCAAGCCCAATTTATTTATTTATTTTTTATTTTCTAATGACATAAAACTTGCCGTCATAAGATATTTGTACAAAGAAAAAAAAAACGCAAAATTATAAGTAGATAAGGATTCCTTTATACATGGGACATTCACATCCAAATTATTGGTGTATGTAATGTAAGATGTGGGATCCATATAAAGCTTCAACTCTTTCACTGTTTTTGTCTCAAAATGATGTTGGGTCACATGAAAATTGTTGGTGGAAAAACCGTCCCATAGCGTGCTTTAATTTAAAAACTGAGAAGCCAAAACAATTAAACTAACCCATTTGAAAGTAACAAATTAAAAGATATAATATGAAGTTTTAAATTTCATATGTTTACATTAGGGATGAGGTCGGTTCCGGAATTTAACTGAACCGACTCTAACTGAAAAATAAAAATTCAAAGAACTGAGAACCAAAAAATGGAAATTCAAGGGCGAAGCTGGAGTCGCTCTAGAATTACATGTATTAAGACATTGGTGGATATATAATGCTTGAAGTTATGTATATAGCTTAGTGGTACACAAAGTGAATAGGAAGAAATAAGCTTAACCGGACTAGTTAAAACCTAACTGAATTGGCAGTTAGGAACTAGTTTTTTATTAAATCGAAAAACTTTACCGACTTTTCTAAAGGACTGAACCGAACCGGTTTTATAATTCGAAAAGCCGATTTTTTTATTAAAATTTCATTTCAAAAAGACCGAACCGATTATAATCGAAACCAGTTTTCCTATACCAGTTTAAAGAAGACATTTTTTTTATCGGAACCGGTTTAAAACAGGTTTTTGTGCACTTTTAGTTTAGCTCAAAATGATAAAATCCATTTGGGGATCAAAGGTTATGAAAACTCAAAATTCTTTCATGGAATTTCAACAATAAAAATAAGACACGATACCATTTGTAATATTATGGGAGATGGAAAGTGGGGGACGAAGCATCTGTGAAATATGATTTTTTTTTCTCTAACTTTGTTATTAGAGCCCTCGGTATGCCACCTACCGCACACCGTCGTATGTGACGTGTCACCGCGGTGTGCAATAAAGACCGCTCTACCCCTAAAAAAGAAGTGGTATGAGTCCCGCACGAGATGGTTTGACCGCACCCAAATTCAAAGTTTTTTACCCTTTTTTTGACCATTGGCAAACGACTAGAAATCTATATTTTTTTTTTCAAAAAACACTATAAATTCACAACTATTAATCATATATTTCATACCTAAACCTTTTTCAATTCATACCACATTTCAAACCCGTGCATTCTAAAAATGAATCCAGACAACTCTCAATTTACCGCTCGTAGCAAATCGCATGCAAATGTTCCTCCATTGGAATCATCCGTTTACCGACCACAAATTGATACGTCTACGATTTCGCCCCGACCCCAACCCCAAACCCAACAAATTTAATACCAACAAATACCACAACAATATTACACGATGCAACCTCTTAACCCACCCATGTTTCAAAAAAATTCCCCTCTCCTCGAATACGTTCCTGAATTGGAAGTCAAATTTATTCGGGAAACCAAACCGGAGCCCGAACCCCAAATTGTTTGGGAAACCCAACCCGAACCATGCAACCCCAAAAGACGAGGTAAAGGAAAAAGCATCGGGTCGAAAAGAGAAGACGATGTCTCAACAATGGCAACCGGACGAAGAGATGATTTTAGCGCAATCATGGATCGACATTTCAAAGGATTTTAAAACTGGAAATGGGCAAAAAAATGACCATTTTTGGTGACACATTATGCAACGATTTCCTAAATTTATGGGTCGTGACGATTACCACACTAAAGATGAACGTACTAGCAAGTTTCGCGAGATGAACAAATATGTCATAAAATTCAACAATATTTACAACAATTTGGTAATTCAACGGAAAACGGAGAAGGCGATAAACAATTTTTAGAGACGAACCTTAAAATTTTTCTTATTGATAATAATAAAAAGCGTTCAAGTTTCTAATAGATGTTTGGAGGTTTTTATCCACATTCCGAAAATGGGTAGAAGATTTTGGTAGCAAAGAAGATGGTTCGAAAAAACCAAAGTTTTCGAGACGAGTTACACTACTTCATCTGATGCGCGTTTTGGGGTTGATTTGAACGAAATGGATGAACTCGAGCTTGAAAAGGCAGTTTGACCGATGGGCCGAGATAAGGCGAAAAAGAGAGTCTCTTTGTCAAATACATCGGGAACGGGAAGAGGAGATGACATTCACAGAGTTGCTAGTAATTTCAAAATTTACAATTTGAATTTTGAAAAGGAGAAATTGAAGGAGAAAAAGAAAGCTAGAGAGGAGAAGCAAAAAAGTTGGGATATGAAATTTTTAACAAAACAATTGGATTACCTCACCGGAAACGAGCTCGATATGTTTTTCAGGGCTAGAGCGGACATCTTGAAAAAATATTACAAGTAGTGTTTTTATTTAATTGTCGTTTTTTATGTAATGTATTTATTTATTTAATTAAATTAATGAAGTTTTTTTCGTTTTATTAAATTATATTTTTTATTCAATTAAAAAAAGAAGAAATAAAATGGTAAAGTGAGGTATGACACCTTTCAGTTTTGTGAGACGAGGGAAAAATAAAGTGTCGATTACGTGACAGTGCAATAGTATGGTATGGTGTGGTATGATATCCACATATCTCAAGAAAATCTTGTGACATGTTATCGAAGAATCATTTTTGGCGGTTGGAAAACTAAAACCGGTGTGGGATTCTAGCCTTCTTGGATGAAATATCATTGGAACACGATGGTTTAACTTTTAATTTCATTAAAAGATTTTGGGAAATTGTCAACGAGGATGTCATTAATTTGGTTTGCAATTTCAAGAAAATCAAGCGTCTTAATGAATGGTTACAATCCTCCGTTTACAACTCTCATCCTTAAAGTTCAAGACTAGAAGTGCGTTTACAACTCTCATCCTTTAAGTTCAAGACTAGAAGTGTGTTAAAGATTATCAACCTATAAGCCTTTACTGATTGTCAATATATAATTATTTGCAAACTTTTGACTAACTAGTTATGTGAGGTTATTGGAGAAGTCATAAGCATCGAGCAATCAACCTTCATTAAAGGACGTCAAATTTTAGACAAACCCTTAATCTTAAATGAAATCATCGCATGACATAAAGATAATCAGAAAGAAGCATATGGTCTTAAAAGTAGATTTTGAGAAAGCTTATGATTCTTTAAGCTATGGTTACTTGGACACTGTCTTTCAAAAGATGGTGCTTGGGGTCAAATGTCGGGTATGGATTCATCTCTGTCTTAGCTCTTCGATGCCTTCTATTTTGGTAATGGTTTCCGGACTTGCCGTTTTTGTTGAAGAAATCTTCTTGCGTTCTTTCTTTGTAGAATCTTTCATCTACCATAATGATTTGATCCATATGAAAAAAAAAACTAGAAAGTATCTTTTGTTTGGAGAGTTTAGGATGTCCGAATCAAATTATGCTGTGAGAGGAGGTTCAAAAGTTTCTAAAGGAATATTATCTAGGTCGTTGAGTTTTTGGATCATTATATACCATGGATCTTGTAGATGAAATGTTTTAGTAATCGATTCTGCAATATTTTCTTTGACATAAAAAATAATGTTATTAAACACATTTTTATGTGAAAGCTCAGTAGAAGGAGACGATCAAGATCTTCATGTTTTTCTATTTGTGTTTCTAAATTCCTCATATAAATCTAGACTTCGGGGAGGAGTCTTGGGATGTTATTCTTCTGTAACAAGCTTCTTGCTCAAATCTTTTTAAGGGGCATCTTGAACTCCCTTGAGGGATCGTTTGCTCTGGAATGACGGATGATGGTTGATCATTTTTGTAGTAAGGGAGGAGGATGTCTTTCTTCTTCTTCTTCTTCTTATATTTTCTCTTATCCAATTTCTCTTTGAGAGATCTTCAATGTGAATATGTTTTTCGATATCTTCTCCTCCTTTTGTGGAAGAAGGCCAGCCTTATTTGCAAACCTAGAATATCATCAAGATTATCAAATATTTTGAGGAAAGATGCAATCATAGTTTTGCATAACCTGTCTAACCCTAAGTCAAGAGTTGGTTTCTTCAGGACGTCTTCAACAACTTCAATGTCATTGTTCATTTTTTCGATTTCGTCTAAGGGGAACATCCATAATCCGAATTGCATTGTTTAGAATTTTGACATTTATTTTAGACATAACTAGGTAGTTTGTGCGATGGTACAACAATTCGTCTAGTAGTATTTGATTTCCTGTGGCACGATTTTTGACAAGTCTTCGTTATTTTTGATATTTGCGGAGGTAAGAGATACATTTGAAAGTGCCATCTCCGTAGTCACTTTCTTTTCCAATACATGTATCTCCTCTAATATTTTCATTTATGCTTATGAAATTCAATTTTGAACCTGTTGTAGAATTTTGTCGAGGTCCGTAATAGTGACAAAGTTTGACCCATAAATCTTTGATTCTTGAATGGATAACAAGATTGAATCAAGTTGTCTTCCAACTTCTTGAACTGATCGCTTGAAAAACTTTATTCCCCACTCTTCTTTTTACTGTGTGGTGATTGTTTAGTGGACACAAATGATGATTCCGTAGGCTTTTGAATCTTAGGTTCGA